GGGAGAGAGGCGTGAAAGGAGGGGGGGGAGGAGAGAGGGGGTGTGAGGGGCAGGGTGATAAGGGGGGTGGGTGGGAGGGAGGGGAAGGAGGGATGGAGGGGAGGGAGGGAGGAGCAGGGTGATAAGGGGTCGGGAAGAGGGGAGGGAGGGGAGGGAGGGGAGGAGGGGAGGAGGGGAGGGAGGGCAGGGGTGATAAGGGGGGTAGGGAGGAAGGGGGAGGTGAGGGCAGGGTGATAAGGGGCAGGAGGGGAAGGAGGGGAGGGAGGGAGGGGAGAGAGGGGGTGTGAGGGCAGGTGATAAGGGGTGGTGGGAGGGAGGGGGAGGGGAGGGGAAGGGAGGAAGAGCAGTGGTGATAAGGGGTGGGTGGGAGGAGGGGAAGGAGGTGGGAGAGGGGAGAGAGAGGGGGTGTGAGGGGCCAGGGGTGATATGGGTGGAGGGAGGGGAGGGGAAGGGAAGGGAGGGAGGGCAGGGTTGATAAGGGGGGTGGGAGGGAGGGGAAGGAGGGGAGGGAGGGAGGGGCAGGGTGATAAGGGGGTGGTGGAGGGGAAGGAGGGGGAGGGAGGGAGGGCAGGGTGATAAGGGGGGGTAGGGAGGGGGTAGGGTGGATAGGGGGGGGGGAGGGGAAGGAAGGGTGGGGAGGGAGGGAAGGGGAGGGGAGGGTAGTGTGAAAATGGAGGGGGGGGAGGGTTAATTCGAAATTTATTTTGTATTTTTTTTTCTTTTAGTTATTCCCCCGATTTTTCATTGATTATTTTTTTTCATAAATTCAAGGGGGGTCATAGATGCCATTTTTGCTTAAAATGTTTGTTTACGTTTCTCTATCATTTGTATTTTGATTACGAATGATTTTTTTTTATCTATTTTTATCAGCTTATCTGCAGTGAGCTTTTCATTCACTCATTCATTTGGTTTATTGTTATCAATACCGTCATAATCGCCAGCTTTATTCTCACTATCATTATCACTGATACACGTTATTATCACCATAATTGTTATCACCGACATCACAATCATCATCGTATTAACATTATATTTATTATCATTATTATCATTATTATTATTGTTATTATTATTATTATTATTTTGTCATTATTATCATTATTATTACTATTCATTATCATTATCATTATTATTATCATTATGATTATTATTGTTATTATCATTATGATTATAATTATTATTATTACTACTGCTACTGCTATTACATTTATCGTTATTAGTTATGCATCTGTTCACTATGAATATAATTATATTATTACCTTTATTTTATAATCATTGTTTTTGTCATTATCTTTGTTACTACCATTACCATTACCATAAATATAAATAGATACACAAGTGAAAGAAAGGAAAATAGAAATATTCCACCCTCACCCCCTAAAAAAAGATAAAACATAAATAGGTAAATAAATAAAGCATAAATTGATAGACAGATAAATGACGAAAAATAAACTTTTACATACCTCTATCTCTCTGACTTGGTAACTGCCAAAACTTGTTCTGGGTTGGTAATACTCTTGATGTTCGTCCTGTCACACTGATTTGGTAACGTTGTCTGCACTTGTCTTGATGTGGCAAAACTGACAGAACTTGTCCTAACGTAGCATAAATGTCACACACTTTTCAACACCTGTCCTGACTTGGCAACACTGTCAACGTCTGTCCTCTTGGCAACACTGTCAACGCCTGTCCTCTTAAAACACTGTCAACGCCTGTCCTCACTTGCAACACTGTCAACGTCTGTCCTCACTTGGCACTGTCAAACTTGGCAACACTGTCAACGTCTGTCCTCACTTGGCAACACTGTCAACGCCTGTCCTACTTGGCAACACTGTCAACGTCTGTCCTCACTTGGCAACACTGTCAACGCCTTGTCCTGACTTCAACACTGTCAAACGCCTGTCCTGACTAAAACACTGTCAACACTTGTCCTGACTTGGCAACACTGTCAACGCCTGTCCTGACTTGGCAACACTGTCAACGCCTGTCCTGACTTGGCAACACTGTCAACGCCTATCCTGACTTGGCAACACTGTCAACACCTGTCCTGACTTGGCAACACTGTCAACGCCTGTCCTGACTTGGCACCACTGTCAACCTGGCCTGACTTGGCAACACTGTCAACGCCTATCCTGTTGGCACCACTGTCAACAGTTGGACAACACTTGTCGATGGCCTACTTGCAACACTGTCAACAGTTGTCCTGACTTGGCAACACTGTCAACAGTTGCCCTGACTTGCAACACTGTCAACGCCTGTCCTGACTTGGCACCACTGTCAACTGTCCTGACTTGGCAACACTGTCGATGCCTGTCCTGACTTGGCAACACTGTCAACAGTTGTCCTGACTTGGCACCACTGTCAACGCCTGTCCTGACTTGGCAACACTGTCAACGCCTGTCCTGACTTGGCAACACTGTCAACGCCTGTCCTGACTTGGCAAACACTGTCAACGCCTGTCCTGACTTGGCAACACTGTCGATGCTCGTCCTGTCTCTAACTGGAGAAAAATAGAGAAACATTATCAAATATTGATCGCCAAAATTACACCATAATTGTCTACGTGTCTGTCATGATCTATATATAATTTTTTTTTTTACTTCTTTCTCACACTCTCTTTCTCCTTTTCTTCCTCTCTCTCTCTCTCTTTAATATAGGATTTCATGCACATTCGCGAACATGCGAACATGCAAATCTGGGTGTCATTTCATACATAAAAATCTGTTTTTTTTTTCTTTGGCGTATTATAAACATCAATAGCGTTAATTGTCGAGTTTCATAATTCCATTAATTAATATTGCGTCTTAATATGCTGAAGAAGTGAGACAAAAAAGAGGCTTGTAATTATATATGTCGCTGGAGATCTCATATAATTAAAGAAATGATTAAATGGCAAAGTGTTTCCGCTCGATTTTGCCAATGGAGATTCACGTCTTGCAAAAAAAAAAAAATCTTGCAAAACTATATTTCTTTCCTTTTTTTCAAGTGATTTTTTCTCTTCCCTGTTGAATTTCGCTGTTCATTTTTAATCAGAATTTGTTCACGCTTGTTCACTATGACCTTATGAGATATAAAAGTAATTCAACTACAATCTTAAACTCGTTCATAATTATCCAACAAGACAAAGAGATGGTATTAAGGAACATCAAGAACTAAAAAAAAAAAATAGAAAGTAAGTACCATTACGTACAGACCTCATAACACGTACAATTTCTATGTACACGATCTGTTTTTTTTAAACATTTGTTCAACATTTATCAACAACATAATGGTTTGTAGCGAAGTCTCCAAGCCATTATAATGCACGTAATGATATCCGTTCTATACATCACACTCTATCTCTCTGCCACGCCACACACGCTCCTCGAAAACAACGTAAAATATAACTCCCATCTGGGCGAGTATATCTCATAACAGCAAGCGATATATCAATACATTATAGAAGAGGTAATCGTTCACAGGTCGGGTCATTTGGGCTGCTACAGAACGCGCCGCTGTCAGGTTAAGTTAGGTCAGGTTGAGTCACGTTTGGTCAAGTTGGGTTCTTGGGTTTTAAATCAACATTGGGTTTAGTTTAGTTAGTTTTATTTATGTTTTAGATCGGTTATACTTCACTGATTCATTCATTTAAAGGGATACATCAACAATAGGTTTAGTTTAGTTTTATTTATGTTTTAGTTCGGTTCTTCTTCACTGATTCATTTCAAATAAGGGATAAAGCAATAGGTTTAGTTTCGTTTTACTCAAGTTCATTCTTCACCATTCATTCATTTAAAGGGATACGGTTTAGTTTCGTTAGTTTTATTTATGTTTTAGATAAGTTCGGTTACTTCACTGATTCATTCATTTAAAGGGATACATCAACAATAGGTTTAGTTTAGTTTTATTTAAGGTTTGGTCAAGTTCGGTTATACTTTACTGATTCATTCATTTAAAGGGATACATCAACAATAGGTTTAGTTTCGTTTTATTTAAGGTTTGGTCAAGTTTTAAAATTCATTTAAAGATCAACAATTTATCGTTTTAAAGGTTTCGTCAAGTTCGGTTATACTTTAGGAGCTCAACAGCGTGAAGTTAAACATGTTAATGTGTATACATCGACAGTAATGTTAATGATAAAGATAAAAAAAAAAGACATTTTCGTAAATGTTGACACAGGAGCGGGCAGAGCACCTTTAGGGGGGAGGAGGGGGAGGGGGAGGGGGCACAGGAGACGGAAGATAGGAGAGGGAGGCGAAGAAGAGGGAAGGAGGGGTGGTAGGGAAGGAGAGGGAAGGAGGGGTGGGTAGGAAGGAGAGGGAAAGGGGAGGGAAGGGGAAGGGGGAGGGTTAGGACTGCGTGTGAGCATATGGGAGAGGAACAAGGGGGGGAGAGGGAGGAGGGAGGAAGGCGGAGTAAGACGAGAGGGGTAAAGGGGAACCACAGACCCCCCCCCACTCCCCCCTAGCCTCCCCACCCCCACCCCCACCCCCACTACAGAACTTTAAGAAGGACGCCTGCGCTGTTGCAACGCCGTGGATCTGCAACAGTCCGACTTTAAGTTTCCTCTCGTATTGCAAGCTTTTGACTTCCTTCCCTTTTCCGTGTCAGAACCACGCAATAATAGATTCATTTTTTATTTTATCTAACTATTTTTAGATTTTAGATTCCTTTTTATATTTTATCTAACTATTTTTTTTAGATTTTTTCTTTTATTTTATTTAACTATTTTTTTGGTTTGCGTCTGTGTTTGTCTCTTTCGCCTTCGCTCTGTTTGTGTCGGTAGAATGGTCGAGATTTTTAATTATTTTTTTTATTATGTTTTTATTTTGTTATTTGTTTGTGTGTTTTGATTTTGTTATTTGTTTGTGTGTTTGTATCGTTTTTTTTTTTTTTGCGTTTGTTTAGCTTCGTAACGTTCTCTTGTGCTACCCAATTTCCTTTTGGTTTCTCTGCTTCTACACGTGTCTGGATTCTTTATGTTTCTTTGTTTCTCACTACTACTCATATTTTCCTTCTCTCGACACCCTTCGTCTCTCTCTCTCTCTCTCTCTCTCTCTCTCTCTCTCTCTCTCTCTCCGTTTCTTTCTCCCTCCCTCTCTCTTTCTCCCTCCACCACTTTCTTTTTCCTTCCCTCTCCCTGTCTCCTTTCCTCCCGCTCCCTTTATCTTCTTTCCCTCTCTCTTTCTCCTTCTCTCCCTCTCTCTTTCTCCTTCCCTCCCTCTCTCCTTCTCCTTCCCTTTCTCTCTCTTTCTCCCTCCCCCTCTCTCTCTTTTTCCTTCCCCCCCTTTCTCTCTCTCTTTCTCCCTCCATCTCTCTATTTTTCCTTCCCCCTCTCTCTCTTTCTCCTTTCTCCTCTATCTCCCCCCCTCCCTCCCTCCTCCCCCTCTCTCTCCCTCCATCCCTTTCCTCCCCTTTCTCTCTCTCACTCTTATTCTCTGTCTCCTTCTTTACAACCCTCTGAATTATTTCCTCTCCTTTTTCTCAATTTCGTTCTCACTTCACTTCTATGTCTCACCCCCTTTATTCGCCTCTGTTCTCCCTCTCCCTCCCCTCTCCATTCCCTTCCTCTCCCTCTCTTTCTCCCTATCTCCATTTTCTATCCAATTTAGTCCCTCCCTATATCTTCCTTTCGTCCTTTCTATCCCTTTCTTCCTCCATTCGCCCTTATCCCCTAATTTCCTTCCCCATTTCTTCCTCCCCTTTCTTTCCTTCCTACCCCCTCTTTTCTTCCCACATTCCTCCTTTATCCCTTCCTTTCCTTCTCCATCTCCTACTTTCTCTCCTCTTTTCTTTCTATGCCTCTCTTTCATCCTCTCCTTTTCAATCCCATTTCTCCCTATCCCCCCTTTTCCTCTTCTATATGTCCTTATTCCCTTCTTCCATTGCTCATTTACTCTTCCAGTCCATCCTTACTTCAAACGCACACACACACACACCTAAAACACACACACGCCTTAAACACACACACACACACACACACACACACACATAAAACACACACACGCCTTAAACACACACACACACTAAAACAACACACACAACACACACACACACACACACACACACACACACACACACACACACACACACACACACACACACACACACACACACAACACGCACACACACACACACACACATAAAACAACACACACACCTAAAACACACACACACACACACACACACACACACACACACACACACACACACACACAACAAAACACACACACACAAAACACACACACATACAAAACACACACACACAAAACACACACACACACACACACACACACACACACACGCCACACACACACACACACACACGCACACAACCCTCGCTCGTGTTCCCTTTCCTTTGAGCTAAATCGAGGTCTCCTTCGACGTGCCTTGGCCAGCGTCTTCCACTGCGTAAATCAGAGGGAGAGGAAGAGAGGGAGAGAGGGAGAGAGGGAGAGGGGAGGAGAGAGGGAGGGAGAGGAGGGGGAGGAGGGAGGGAGGGAGGGAGGGGGGAGAGGGAGAGGGGAGGAGAGGGAGGAGAGGGGAGAGGGGAGGGAGAGGAGAGGGAGGGGAGAGAGGAGAGGGAGAGGAGAGAGAGAGAGAGAGAGAGAGAGAGAGAGAGAGAGAGAGAGGAGAATCAGAGAGTCAGAGAGCGAGACAGAGAGAGAGAGAGAGAGAGAGAGAGAGAGAGAGAGAGAGAGAGAGAGAGAGAGAGAGAGGAGAGAGAGAGAGAGAGAGAGAGAGAGAGAATCAGAGAGTCAGAGAGCGAAAGACAGACAGACAGACAGAGAGAGAGAGAGAGAGAGAGAGAGAGAGAGAGAGAGAGAGAGAGAGAGAGAGAGAGAGAGAGAGAGAGAGAGAGAGAGAGAGAGAGAGAGAGAGAGAAGAAAGAACGAGAAAGGGGAGAGTCAAAGAGAGGAAGAGAGTGGGGCGAGTACGAGAACGCAAGATGGAAGGTGGGAAGGTAGGGGCGAGGGTGGGGGGGTGGGGGTGGGCGTATCGGGGGGGGGTGGGGGCGTATCGGGTGGGGTGGGTGGGGGAGGGGTCGGATGAAGGGGACACATTCAGTCCAGGAGGCAGAAAGGTATTAAGAAATAGTTTTTGTTACTGTTGTTGAAAGGGGCGATGTACGTAAGGTTCTTGGCTTCTGTCTACGCGTCTGTCTTGTTATCTAACTCTGTCTTTGCTCCTGTTTTTCTTTCCCTCTTCCTCTCTCTTTCTCTTTTCGTTCTTCTTCCTCTCTCTCTTTCTCTTTCTCTTTTTCTTTCTTCCTTCCTCTCGCTCTCTCTTTTCATCTCTCTCTCTCTCTCTTTTTCTCTTTTCTTTCTTCCTTCCTCTCGCTCTCTCTTTTCATCTCTCTCTCTCTCTTTTCACCTGTTTTTCTCTCTCTCTTTCTCCCCCCCCTCTCTCTCTCTCTCTCTCTCTCTCTCTCTTATCTATCTACTCCCATCTATCTGTTTATCACATTCGTGTTTGAATCGCGTAGTTCTTCTGTAACACCCTTTTACCTCACCTGTGACC